CCGTCTAGAGATAATTCTGCACGAGCGCGATAAATCTCCCACACCGCCAGCCCATGAAGAGCGTCGGCATTAGGCAGATTAAAAAGGCCGCGCCGCGTCTTTTTGGCAAAGAGGCGCAGCAGGCCTAAATAGAAACGCTGCTTACTAAGGGCATGAAGTATTCGAATTAGCTCAAAAAGACGGCTATTTCGGCCCCATTAGCTCAGTTGGTAGAGCGTCGTGCTTATGTTTCGCTGTGGAAGCATGCTAGAGTCACGCGGACGTCGCCAGTTCGATCCTGGCATGGGGCATTGCTTTTTTGCCTTTTTTGTTGTCCAAATATATGTCACATGACTTTGAGTATCTTGTGCTTGGAATACCGTGGCGGCTATGGATGTGCTAGGGCGTCAATGAGAATGTCGTTTTCTAGTCGCAGGCGGCGCGACTTGTCCTTGACGCGAGTCAGCTCTTTTGTTTGGTTGGCAACCTGGTCACGCAGGTAGGCCAGTTGGGCCTCGAGCATCGTGGCTTCGCTGGACTCCGAGGCGGCGGATAGGGGCGGGTGGTACGAGTCGCTGTCGGATGCGGAAAGGCGGCGCTTGGGTGATTTCAACACTGGATCATCATCATCGTCCTCATCGTTCTCTGAAGATGATGTGGAGGGCAGCAACAGCAGCTCGGCGCGCGGCGTGATTTGGCGGTCCTTGGCACGAGCAGTCGACCGGCGCCATGGCGACGATAGGGTGGCAGAGTGTTGGCGGGTGTGGCGGATCAGAAAGTCCGAGCGCTTGTAGATCTTGTCGCAGCCATCATAGGGACACAAGTAGGCGCGGTCGCCAGTGTGGTCCTTCAGGTGCAAAATCAGGTCGTAGCGAGTAGGGACCGGAACGTCGTGCTGCGGGCAGGATCTCCACTGGCACGAGTGTTGCGCTTGTGGGTCGGGGCTGATGTGGGCGAGCGACAGGTGAATGGCGAGCAAATGCGAAGAGGCGAATTCGGCGGTGCAAGCGCGCCAAGCACAAGCTACGCGTCCAATGACCGGAGCTGAAGAGCTAGGATGGTCAGTATCCGACGAAGCCATTATCTGCGGCGAGT